TAACTTAAAATATACAGAAAAGAAAAATTTTAATGAATTCGCGATCGACATTTGTCTGAAATATTCGGTGCGAATTCAAAATACAAAATTTATTTTATACAATTTATGACATCATTGCTGCCTTTATCCGGCCCTTCGGATGACACCAGTCCATAACACCGTCCTTCTCACCTTTCATCGTTATCATCATATTGGTTACCATCAATTATTTTTATTGCCCTCGATTATTTGCCAGAGAGAAAACATTTTATTATTGTTGAGCTTTCGTATTTACGGTCGCCTGATTTCTACCTTGCATCTGCTGCTTCCATTGTTACGATCTGACTTTTACGAATTAAATTGTTACTGTATACGAACTTTCATCCAATCAGTACGCTAAATAAAATTTTTCTCTTACACCGTGAAATGCACCACATAGTTTGGCAGACATTATAACCCGTATGCGCATGTTCGGGTGATAAAAAGATCCTCATTACAATGTTCAATAAAAGCCAACAATTTTAACTCACGCATCATTATTTTGCAGAAATAATTACCATTTTCCTTCCCGCACAATTTTTTTCCAAACAATAATTACCTTTTAACTTCAATTAAAGCTACAATAAATCCAGGAATTTACCGCAATAATAACCTTCTTATCTTCAATTAACGCTACAATAAATCCAGAAGCATGCAGAAATACTAACCTTCTTAACTTCAAGTAACGCTACAATAAATTCAAGTAACGCTACAATAAATCCAGGAGCTTGCAGCAATAATAACCTTTTATCTTAAATTAAAAATACAATAAATCAAATAACTAAAGCCGCCGCCATGCACGAGCTCCGCGTCTCCGCCCTCGGTATCCTGGCTACGGTGAGTGCTGCGTGCATTTATCAAGGGCGCTTCAAGTGATATAATAATACGTGTTTAAAAATTAATTTTTATAGACAATACTCCTAAAGAGGCCAGCGTCTCCGATTATACACATGTACAACTAATGTCTTATGTTATAAATATTAAAAAAAATTATTTTGTTAACATTCAAAAATTTACTTTTTACAACACTTTTCTTTAACTTCACTTCTTGTTTGTTTGTCTGTCTGCTACAAATCTCATAATCGATATTTAACACACTTCTACCTCTGCAATCAATCTGAAATTTTTCACACTTGCGTTAAGTCGGAGACAATGCATGTATCAATTGACAGAAGAAATAATTTTGAAATTGTAAACAAATTTTAATCCTAAAAATAAAATTACAAAAATTAATTTTTTAATATTTGATAATAAAGTAAGAAATTCATTGTACATGTGTAACCTCGGAGACACTGGATTTTTTAGAAGTGTTGTCTTTAAAGGTCATTTTTAAACGCATATTTCTCTGACTTTACGCAAGTGTGCAAAATTTCAGATCGATTGGACAGGTAGAAGTGTGTTCAATATCAATTATAAAATTTGTAGCAGACAAACAAACAACAAGAAGTGAAGTTGAAGAGAAGTGGTGTCATAAATAATATTCGTTTACAAATTACTTTTTAAAGACAACACTTCTAAAGAGTCCAGTGTCTATGATGTTACATATGCACAATAAATTTCTAATTTTATTTTCCTACATAAAAAATCATTTTAAATTTTTTTATTTGGAATTTTTTTAATATTATACATTATTTTTGTATTTTTTTAAATTATTTATTATGTTAATTGAATCATGCAGTATAACTGACTTTAAGTAAGTGTGTAAAATTTCAGATCGATTGGATAGGAGGTAGAATTGTATTAAATATAGATTATAAGATTTGTTGCAGACAAACAAACAAACAAACAACAAGAAGTGAAGTTATGGAGAAGTGTTGTAAAATAGAAAGTAATTTTAAAAAATAAATTAATTAATGCGTTGCCATTGTAATGGAATGCCGTGCAATAGATATTTTGATAAATTATTAGGTCACTGGTATTTTAATTTAGGCTTTAAGGCACCCCTATTAGAGATCGCAGAGACAAGCTACTACGTGCTTATTCGTTGTACCAACACGCACCTCCCCAGAGGTGCGTGTTGGTACATATCAGGTCTGTTTATTGTATTGATAGTCATATGTCCATATATTGAGTGGTTTATATAGGTGACTTTGAATATTATTAGTCGACTATCACTTATTTCGACTATTAGTCGACTATTCCTTATATACTTATTTTTGCCATTTTTGCTTTATATTCTGTTTTGTTAGGTTTAGATTTGTACAAGTCCTGGAATTCAAACGCAAAAATAATAGCCAAGAAGTTCATCATTCCTTATAGGAGAAAAAGTTTTTGAGTCCATCTCCATCGTCAGCTCAAAGCCTAGAACACAGGCACAAAAACAATATAAGTAGATATTATAAGTCATATTATATTTTATAATATTATATCACAATACTCTATATTGGAGAACAATGTTAACAGGAACCAATAATGTATATTAAAGGTTGCGTTTATGTTGGATTTCTCCCCACATGTGCACTAAACACTGAAAATTAAATGCAGTTAGTTTCTCGTATGCAGGTTCAGGACTCTGAACATTACAGCAGGAAGGAGGTGTTTTGCTGTCATGTCTACATGAAGTTAGAACGCCGCATATCTTTGAGTGTCGAGGGACTCCATGCGTATTGGCGAACATTAATAATAATCTTTACTTGATATTGGTGTTCTAACGATGTAACTGTATTTCAATGGGCTTTCTATACAGGCTTATTATGGGCTTTTTATTTTATTATAATGGGCTAATACTGCTTTTTACAGCTTCTTTATGTGTTGTCCAATTGACATTGTTTATTCGCTTTACAACATTCATTATTTGTAAGCTTTGCAAAATGTTCTCAATCAGCAAAATCTACGTCTAGGACAATTTTATGACAGGACTCGCGGCCGAACCGGCGGGTGTTCTCGCAAAATCAATTATCAAGGAATATCTCCCAAACTAATAAACTAAGTTTGATGAAACTTGGTACACGTATTCAGTAGAAGCTAACGGTGATGTTTAGCCCCCGAAATTTTTCATATTTCACCTTTATTTGAGGGCTATATCGCAATACAGGCCAAAAATCGCAGTGATCAAGGAAGTTTTTCCAAATTACTGAACAGGTTTGAACAAAATTTTGAATATACATTCCTAACTACCATTCATACATTCCTGCTCGTGAAAATTGTTCGATTTTGCCTTCGTTGACGAGTTTTTTTTCGCTTAAACTTCATCCGTGATATAAACAGCATTAAATTCGCAATGAACAAGAAATTTCTTCTATACTACTGAAGATTTGAGCAAAACTTTGCATACAAATACCTGACCTCCCAACGGTGATGTTTAGCTCGTGACAATTTTTTCGATTTGGCTTTCGCTTGCGATGTTATACGGCTATACGTGTACGGCTCTTGGGCAATGCAAATTGAAAAATCTGCAGAAATGCCGGTCGTTTCTCTTTTTTTCATCATATATCTCGCGAGCGAAGACAAAATCGAAAAAAATCGTCGCGAGCAAAACAACACCGTTGAGAGGTTTGGTATTTATATGCGAAATTTATTTCATGAAGTTCAGTAGTTTAGAAGAAATATCTTGGTCACTGCGAATTTCAGCACGTATTGCTGTATAAATCACGAATGAAGGTGAAATAAAAAAGAATCTCTCGAACGAAGGCAAAATCGAAAATATTTTCGCGAGCTAAATATTGCCGTTTGGGAGACAAGAATGTATATTCAAAATTTCGTTCCATTATTCATTTCTATTTATTAATTTGGAAAAAATCCTTGATCATTGCGGATTTCGGCCCGTATCATCATATAGCTCACGAATTAAGACGAAATGTAAAAAAAAATTTGCAGCTAAACATCACCGGTAGGTCCTAATGAAGACGTGTACCAAGTTAGATCGGGCTCCGTTCATTAGTTTGGGAGATTTTTCTTGATCATTGAATTTATAGATTAGCCGCGAGTCCAGCCGTAAATTTATCCGAGACGTCAAATATCTCCCCACCATAACCAGCAAGCATCTTCCCGCACCATCGTCTAGATTAGTTTTACTCGGTATTTGTCCATATATGACATCACAGGGCGTTATGTGTTGCGAAGCTGTGCCTCGGGCCCAGCGTGACATTTGTCCTCATTTGATATCATAGTGCGTTGTGTATTGCAGGTGCTGTGCCTCGGGCCCGGCGTGACATTTGTCCATATTTGACATCATAGTGCGTTGTGTGTTGCAGGTGCTGTGCCTCGGGCCCGCTGTGGCATTTGTCCTTATATGACATCATAGTGCGTTGTGTGTTGCAGGTGCTGTGCCTAGGGCCCGCTGTGGCATTTGTCCTTATTTGACATCATAGTGCGCTGTGTGTTGCAGGTGCTGTGCCTAGGGCCCGCTGTGGCATTTGTCCTTATTTGACATCATAGTGCGCTGTGTGTTGCAGGTGCTGTGCCTCGGGCCCGCTGTGACATTTGTCCTTATTTGACATCATAGTGCGTTGTGTGTTGCAGGTGCTGTGCCTCGGGCCCGNGAAGTGTTATATTGGCATTACGTCTGTCTCTTATACACATCTAGATGTGTATAAGAGACAGACCTATAACCGTGCTGTGTATGATAACTTTTGCAGCTGTAGATGCTCATATATTAAGTCGTGTAACTGCGATCTAATACCGTGCTGTGTATGATAACTTTTGCAGCTGTAGATAATCATATATTTAGTCGTGTAAATGCGACCTAATGCCGTGTTGTGTAAGATAACTTTCGCGGCTCTAGTGGCTCATACATGTATATTTAGTCGTGGAAGTGCAATTTAATACCGTGCTGTGTATGATAACTTGTGCAGCTTTAGATGCTCATACATTTAGTCGTGTAACTGCGACCTAATACCGTGCTGTGTATGATAACTCTTGCAGCTTTTGGTGCTCATTTAATCAGTCGTGTTAATGCGATCTAATATACCGCGCTGTACAGACACTTGTACAGCGCAGAGACTTGCATTTGGTGGACATATTTGCCTCTCTTACAGACGTACCGACGCATCACGACCACGGCATTCGACTTGACGACTGCCATCAATATCACCACAACGTTGACAGCGACCGACGTGGTGAAGTGCGCGAAGATGGCTGCCTTGGCAGGTGAGCATCCTGCGCCTTATGTGGGCTTGTCACATGGCGCAGGCTTGATATTTAATCAGCCGTATTAACATGCAGGCTTGATATTTAATCAGGCGTATTACCATGCAGGCTTGATATTTAATCAGCCGTATTACCATGCAGGCTTGATATTTATATCAGCTGTATTACCATGCAGACTTGATATTCATATCGTATCAAGCCTGCATGACAATTCTGGTGTCTGCCGGCTTCTTAAAAATAAGCGCAAGGGTATCGATTTCCAATTTCAATGATCAAATAATCAATTAAATCAATTTTTTCTATTAATTAAACTATTTTTCAGACATGACTGCGTTCTCATTCAATGGAACATGCACAGCTTATAAGTTGAACTGGAAACTTTGTTCGTGTTTGCCCGGGGAGGAATTGCTGCCTGGGAAGGTGGTTCTTTACATCACCGACACCAGCCTCTCCTACCGCATGACCTCCTCGGCTGCGACGCGCAGTGAGTATATACCCGCAACTCGAATATGAGTGACCAGGCACAGTGCTCCATCGTACATATATTCTTATGAACATGTGTCTGGATACGAACTGTGTACGTCCTTTTTGATATGTTTACAATTTATATGAATGAATTTTCAAGATTTAAGGCGCAGCCAGTCGTTAATAGTCGTTGTAATTTTACCAAATGCGGTTAAGAATAAAGTTTATCTATGCTAATTAGGAAACATCCGTTTAAACGCATTTTTCATTTGACGCGTTATTTTTCACTACCATTTGACTGCCTCTACGAAAGATGAAAAAACAATTATGCGTCATTTAAAGTAAATTTATACATGCCAAATGAACAATTAATTTTCAATTTTAGATCCAATTCTTTCCTCCCTTACCTCTATTTGTTTGTTACCCTTCCTCCAATCCTTTCATATACTCATACGAACTATAAATATATAATTTCGTGTAAACGCTGTTTTAATTTTTATCTTGGAAAATTTAGTGAAAATTGTTCATATTATGTTAATATTTTATGAAATTTTAAATAAATGAATAATATCGGACAACAATGGATGAACCCAAGTGAATTCTATTTTAGGTTTGCAGAAATTTCAGGCAATCGCAAATATAATTTAATTAGGCAGTAATATTAAGTATACCTTCTTATCCCATATAACGAAAATGCATTGTGTTGCAATAGCGCTGGCGTCGTTGGCGTCGGGGCAGCGCACCACAGTGGGTTCTATATATTAGTTATATTAAGTATACCTTCTTATCCCAGATAACGAAAATGTATTGTGTTGGTATAGCGCTGGCGTCGCTGGCGTCGGGGCAGCGCACCACAGTGGGTTCTATATATTAGTTATATTAAGTATACCTTCTTATCCCATATAACGAAAATGTATTGTGTTGTATAGCGCTGGCGTCGCTGGCGTCGGGGCAGCGCACCACAGTGGGTTCTATATCCACGGACGTCATCCAAGACGTGGGCGACTTCAACGGCATCCTGGGCAAGGGGCTGTCATCCAGCCAAGTCTTCGAAGAGACGCAAGTCTACGGCCCGTGTGAGTGATGTTGTGTTGACTATAATAACTGCAGTTGTATTCAACGTATTACACTGTATATGTGATGTTGTGTAGACTATAATAACTGCAATTGTATTCAGCGTATTCAAACCGTATATGTGATGTTGTGTAGACTATAATAATTGCAGTTGTATTCAGCGTATTCAAACTGTATATATGTGATGTGTTGACTATAATAACTGCAATTGTATTCAGCGTATTCAAACCGTATGTTTGATGTTGTGTGGACTATAATAATATTGTCCATACAACAAATAATAATATAATAAACAATTAGGTTGACATGTTTTGCAGGACGATCGACGAAGAATTGCATTGCAATAGGGAAGCCATTTTCGATCTTATGTAAATGAATTAAGAGAAATACTTCAAGCTTTGAGTAAATAGGGAGCAATGGTAGAGAAACTTTCAAAAGGTTAAACGTTTAATATTTTGAATGTATTCAAGATAAAATTACAAAAGCGATAAAAAATTAATTTGCTAACATTTCGTCAGGATGATTTTCGTATTGCAAGGACTCAGAAATTTGTTTTGCTAAAAGGACATGAACGCCCGATATTATTTTTATCCCACCTAAAGCTTTCAAGTCAGGTGTTCTGAAATTGAGTCAATAAAGAAATGGAAACATTCACAGAACAAATGTCATCACATTAATACTACACTCGCTTGCTCCACCATAAAATGCGCTGGCCTAGTCGCTGTGAAAACATACTCGTGTCTCATGTTCCTTTTTGCCGTTTCGGTAGTTTTTTTAAGTTGAAATGTTTTAAATGTGGAGGAATGGAGGAATTATTTCAAGGAATGACTTAACCAGGAAATATTTTTCCCGGTCATATGATACCATATAACCGAGAAAAAAGTTCGAAAAATTGTTGATTTGGTTTCCTAGCCTTTTCAACACAGCCTTAGGTACTCAATGAATTTTTTGCTTATAGTTCTTTAAATTTAGCAGTTAGAATTTCTTGAAATTTAGCAGCCAGATATTCATTGCTCTGCTTGATCCTAGATCTCATATAAACTCAGTTATCATGCGTCTATTTTACCACACACAAAAAAACTTGGTTAGTTCCATTGAAAAGGCCATTCGTTTCATCAGAATTTGTAATCTATCAAATGAGGTAAAATATGAAAAATTCTGGTTTTCGGTTCAACGAGGCGTAAAACTTGGGGGCATGTACGATTAAAGCATGAATCAATCTGTACCATGAAAGGACATTATCTCTCAACCTCCGTCCTAGAAACAAGCTATTTCGGTACCTATTTAATATTGAATATTTCTGCCAACAGGCGAGTGCCGTGCGCGGTGCCTCGCGAACACCGCGTGCGTGGCATTCAGTGTTCGTCCGCAGTCAAACGGCGCGCTCCTTTGTGGGTTGGCTAGTGCTAACGTCTATGTCAACACGCCAAGCACCATCCCTGGGGCTTCGTACTTCGTCAAGAAACAACGTATGTCTTGACGTATTGTTATTTAATTTAACTACTAGAGTCGATTTTTGTTCATGCGGTAATTTTTCAAATATATTTTTATTGTTTGGGCATTTGGCAAGCCGTTATTGCGCATCGTTTTCACCGCAACTGACAATGTAAAGCCTAGAATTCTCACTATCATCTGGTGCAGAATTTGTCCAATTTCTCTCTTCTTAATGAGCATTGACGCCATTTGAGCTTTCTAACGTCAGGACCATCACGCCTAGGATAAAAATAAATAAATCCCCATATTTTCCCCCCATATCTTCGTTGAAACTATCTCTAAGCTCCGAAGCTCATGCAATCTTTAAGGAGATTTTCAATATAAGTTTTTTAAACAATCTTCCCGTCATCTATTTCAGAGCTGATGGAACCTTGGGCCATCGACCGTCTGTTTTACCGCAGTCTGAACACTAAAGCCATGGGCCTCTTCGCCAACGAGGCGGCCTGCGAGGCCATCCCCGGCTTCCGCCTGGTTGTGGTCAAGTTCGCGGCCCAGATGCCCATCATGCTGGAGATGTGCCTCGGCCATCCACCCGCGGGGGAGACCCAGTGCACCGACAGAACGCGGTGGTTCTACGTTGACATGCTCAAGATCGGCAGCAACACCGTAGTCAAGATCCAAGGAAACATACTGTTGAGTGATACTGACCTTACTTCAAGCGTGATGATTAACGATCCATATGAAAAATACGCCTTCATCTACGCGCATTCGGGGAAACTCCACGATGAGAGCCCATTGACGTGGAATGTTTACCCTGTCTGTCAAGCCAACGTCTTTGGGGTAAACTGGTAAATGTCGAGTAGTACTCTGATCAAAAATGTTGTAACGACGGACGTTACGAAGCAAGCCGTTCGAGTTGCGTTTAAAACATTATCATTAAAAACATTATGTGTTAGTTGTCAGTATGACTCCTCAGAGTTACGTTGATAGTTAACTAAGTACATCGGTCTGCTAATGATTTAACAATACCAATACACACGCAATAAATGTCGTACAAGAGATAAATTAACTGATGTACAACATTTCACAAGTTCATTTACATCGCGTCAGTCGTGAAATGTTTTATACTGGGCATTTTGTCATTCAGCATCAACATTTTATCAGTTCAGTATCAACATTTTATCAGTTCAGTATCAACATTTTATCAGTTCAGTATCAACATTTTATCTGTTCAGTGTCAACATTTTATCAGTTCAGTATCAACATTTAATCTGTTCAGTGTTAACATTTTATCAGTTCAGTGTCAACAGTTTGTCAGTTCAGTATCAACATTTTATCAGTTCAGTGTCAACAGTTTGTAAGTTCAGAATCAACATTTTATCAGTTCAGTATCAACAGTTTGTAAGTTCAGAATCAACATTTTATCAGTTCAGTATCAACAGTTTTTCAGTTCAGTATCAACATTTTATCAGTTCAGTTTCAACAGTTTGTCAGTTCAGTATCAACATTTTATCAGTTCAGTGTCAACACTTTGTCAGTTCAGTATCAACAGTTTGTCAGTTCAGTATCAACAGTTGGTCAGTTCAGTATGAACATTTTATCAGTTCAGTATCAACATTTTGTCAGTTCAGTATCAACATTTTATCAGTTCAGTGTCAACATTTTGCCAGCTCAGGATCAACATTTTGTCAGTTCAGTGTCAACATTTTTCAGTTCAGTATCTTATAACTAATTAACTGGAAATAATCTATTAGATGAAGTATAGTAATTAGTCAAATGGTGACTTTGGTTTTTCCACATGAAGGATGTTTTGTCTGAGGGTCAACTTGCTCAGTATCCGATCTTTAAACAATGTTTTTAGGTTTACAGATGTTTACTGGTAAGTGCGAAGTGTACTGATATATTGCTGAACATGTTCACCAGACAAACAATCTAGTAATGCACCTAATTCTGTTTAAGCATGAACCAAATTATTTACGTTCAAAGAATAACCACGAATAAATTATCGGATGATTAGTGCAAGAGGGGGAATTTCTTGTCAATCAAATTGCAAATTGTGTTAGATAATATAACCCATGGCACCTTTTTGTGAGTATTATTGTAATTTTAATTAATTTGCTCCAAGATATACTGAGCCCATGTTGACATCACCGTAGCATGGATACGTAGGGAGCATCTGGGCGTCTAAGCAATTTAACGCCACGAGTGGGTCATGGCAGAAATTTAAAGGGCCATTAGTAGGTCAGTATGACCCACAAATGGAGCAAGTGAGTCAAAAAGTGCATCGCTATTTGGTTGCAGGTTGACCTTTTTCAGTGGGTCATCCAGACACACCTACTTCTCTCAGTGTAACATTAAGTTTAGTGGAACTGTGGTACCAGGTTCAGATGAAGTGTTATATTGGTCTTACTTTCGGTTGAAGTGTTATGTTGATATTAATTTCGGTTGAAGTGTTATATTGGTATTACTTTCGGTTGAAGTGTTATATTGGTCTAACTTTCGGTTGAAGTGTTATATTGGTTTTACTTTCGGTTGAAGTGTTATATTAGTTTTACTTTCGGTTGAAGTTTTATGTGGGTATTACGTTTGGTTGAAGTGTTATATTGAAGTGTATTACTTTGGGTTGAAAATTTATGTTGGTTTTACTTTCGGTTGAAGTGTTATGTTGGTATTACGTTTGGATGAAGTGTTATATTGGTATTACTTTCGGTTGAAGTGTTATATTGGCCTTACTTGCGGTTGAAGTGTTATATTGGTATTCCTTTCGGTTAAAGTGTTATATTGGTCTTACTTTCGGTTGAAGTGTTATATTGGTCTTACTTTCGGTTGAAGTGTTAAAGTGGTATTACTTTCGGTTGAAGTGTTATATTGGTCTTACTTTCGGCTGAAGTGTTATTGTGGTATTACTTTCGGTTGAAATGTTATATTTGTCTTACTTTCGGTTGAAGTGTTATAGTGGTATTACCTTCGGTTGAAGTGTTATAGTGGTACTTTCTGTTGAAGTGTTATATTGATTTTACTCTCTGTTGAAGTATTATATTGGTGTTACGTTTGGTTGAAGTGTGGTATTACTTTCGGTTGAAATGTTATATTGGTATTACGTTTGGTTGAATTGTTAAATTGGTGTTACGTTTGGTTGAAGTGTTATATTGGTATTACTTTCAGTTGAAGTGTTATATTAGTATTACTTTCGGTTGAAGCGTTATATTGGCATTACGTTTGGTTGAAGTGTTATATTGGAATTACTTTCGGTTGAAGCGTTATATTGGCATTACGTTTGGTTGAAGTGTTATATTGGCATTACGTTTGGTTGAAGTGTTATATTGGTATTACTTTCAGTTAAAGTGTTATATTGGTATTACTTTCGGTTGAAGCATTATATTGGCATTACGTTTGGTCGGTATAGCTTGCTCGTGTGTCTAGCTTTTGTGTGTTATATGAATTGGCTTTTCGATTTCCATTGCACATCTTGCCTTCGTGGCAACAGTCTTCTGCCGAAGACGACGATTTTTCAAGGGTCAACATAAGTTAGAAGGGAATATTAGCAGGTTGAATCAGACTTCAGCGCCAGTCAATATTCCAATTCAACGCCGCAATTGAAAAACAATCCTACTAAAAAAATGTTGAATCATCAAATGGCGATGTATGAATATTTTGATTATTAATGTTAATCCCACTTCTTTACAGTAATGACTCTCTTAATTGATATAAGCACCTAAGTTTCATTGATATAAGCACCTAATATAAAGAAGAAATTGAATAGAACTTTAATGAAGCGGTTTGATTGTTTACATTACATACATTAATTTTAAGGGTGGATTCTTTTGGCGTAGAAAAATATATAATTTTCAGTCTCTATGTATCCTCGACTTGGCAGAAGTAAACACATAAAACCCAATGCCGTGATGTTATTTGTATCCACGTTTAATGCTCGTATTCATGCGCCATTGGCATTTTGATGAGAAATATTTTTTGCGTAGTCATGTTTGAGTTTGATCTAAGAATCGAGATTGAATGCAGGATTTCCCGTATCAGTTTGAATATTGTTTTGTACCTACCAGTTTACGAACCTATTGAGGCAACAGACGCTACTTGAAACTTTCGTTGGACTTTATACATCAGAATTATTGCTCCATCAGTGCACTTCACTAGCCCTCACAACAATTCACTACACTTCACAACACTTTACCACACCTCACAACACTCCACCACACTTCACAGCACTCCACAACACTTCACAACACTCTACCACACTTCACAACACTCCACAACACTTCACAAAACTTCACAAAACTTCACTACTCTTCACAAAACTTCACTACTCTTCACAAAACTTCACTACACTTCACTACATTTCACAACACTTCACAACACCTTACCACACTTCACAACACTTCACTACACTTCACAACACTTTACCACACTTCACAACACTCCACCACACTTCACAACACTTCACAACACTTCACAACACTCCACAACACTTCACAACACTCCACCACATTTTACAACACTTCACTACACTCCACCACACTTTAAAACACTCCACAACACTTCACAACGCTTCACTACACTTTACAACACTTCACAACACTTCACAACACTCCATCACTCTTTAAAACACTCCACAACACTCCACAACACTTCACAACGCTTCACTACACTTCCACCACACTTTAAAACACTCCACAACACTTCACAACGCTTCACTACACTTTACAACACTTCACAACACTTCACAACACTCCATCACTCTTTAAAACACTCCACAACACTCCACAACACTTCACAACGCTTCACTACACTTCACAACACTTCACAACACTCCACGACACTTCACAACATTTCACAACACTCCACGACATTTCACAACACTTCACAACACTCCACGACACTTCACAACACTTCACAACACTTCACAACACTTCACAACACTCCACCACACTTTAAAACACTCCACAACACTCCACAATACTTCACAACACTCCACGACACTTCACAACACTTCACAACAGGGGGGGGCCGTTGTTCGGTATAGTCCGGGGTTTGACTTTGTTGCCAAGTCAACAGGGTTGGCAGTACCAGTCAGCTCGAAGTGAATTGGTTTTGAAATACACGAAGGAGAGGTTCTCAAGCGCCTGGTAGCTCTAAATCCCAACAAGTCATGTGGACCAGTCGGTTTACATCCCATATTGCTCAAAGACTTAGCAGCCGTTATGGCTGGTCCATTGACAGTATTCTTTCAAAAAACCTTGAACGAGGGAACTTCGCCGTTCGATTGTAAAGAAGCTTAAGTAACATCATTGTTCAAAAAAGGTGACAAAAACAGCCCCTGTAACTATCGCCCACTGTCGGCCTGCCAAGTGTTGTTTGCAAGGTAATAACATAGTGATGTCGGCGCTGAAGAGTTGGACTGATGTGGCCTGTCGCCGATTCTTGGACTTTTCGTGAAGTGAAGTCTTTGGGAATTGAGGAAACGTACTCCAATGGATCAGAGATTTTCTTGTATAGGTAGACGACAACGTGTCAGCATTAACGGGACCGTGTCAGACTGGGCATCAGTGCATGCGCAGTGGCGTGCCACAAGGAAGCGTTCTTGGGCCTATTTTGTGCGTTGCTTTTATGAATTTTCTGCCAGAAGTAGTGTCCAGCGTGTTTTCTATGTATACCGAAGACACAAAAGTTTATAATACAGTGAAGGATGCGTCAAATAAAGTGTAATTGCAAGATGATCCTGACAGTTTAGTTAACTGGGCTGATACGCGGCAGCTGCGGTTTGATGCAGCCGCTGCGGATGATGATGTAGTGACTCGAATTTATATCTCGCACTAGTATTTCTCTTGAATCTCATAATTAATTTTATTAAACCTTTAAACTCATGGTTATCGACCTCTGTAACATTATCTTACCGATCTTGATCTCGACTGCATACTTCAGATTTCATCAATTGCATTATTAAACCATTATAAAATATCCAGTCAGTTTATCACCAATTTTTGAGCACGAATAGCACTCGTGTAATTCCTGAATGAAAAAAAGTTTAGTAAATGTCAAAATAATTTTATGCTTAAATCGTACCAGCAAATATTGTGAATTTTGTTATGAGCGCCAGTGGAGAACCATTTGCCAGTCGCGCGACGCGCATTACTTAGTCATTTTTCTGAACGACGCGTGGGGTGAACATCTAAGGGGGCAAGACGCTAAGTTCTTCACTACAATTCAATTATTTTAATGCGATAAACATTTCAGTAACTGTCATAATTGAATCATTTGTATTTTCTGTATTTTTGATATTGTTATTCCATTGTGTTCATGTCATGTCAATCCTAACGGCCATCACTGATACAGGTGTTGATCAGCGGGTTCTTTCTTCAGCCCGACTTCCTTCAATAAATAACGGAAACTCGAGATTCTTCACTCCACCCTACTCGAGATACCATTGCATCAATCAATTAGGGAAGAGGGACGGCAAAAATCTTATTCAATTCCAACCACTGTTAAGTAAAATCTAACCCTCCTCTAAAAAAGTACTTCCCATCGGGAAGAACAATGAACAGCAAGATTACAGTATGAGAAGACATGGTAACAACGAGAGAGTAATGATTGAAAAATCTAGTGTGGAAAAAGATCACGGAGTTTATGTCGACAAGGAGCTAAAATTTTCTAAGCATGTTGAAACGAAAGCTAATACATCGAAAAAACTTCTTGGTCTAATCAGACGCTCTTAGGAGTTCCTAGATGCAGTAGCGATGAAGCAGTTGTTTGTTGCTGTCGTGCGCCCGAATCTAGTTAGTTAGTTAGTTTAGTGGCCAAATGTTTACTAGCGCTTCAGCTATTAAGCTATCTCGCACCGAAAGTCAAGATGAACATCACCATAGAGGTGGAAGGTCTCAATTATTCATCACCCACAAGGGGCGGAAGGTCTCAGATGTCCAGCCCGCTGAAGCTGGCTCGAAGGAAGCAGCGTTAGCATCTCAAAAGAGACGAAGTGACAAGGAGGGACAGGTGAAAAGCAACAGAAACGAAGACACTCGAACAAGAGGTCGCTTACACGGGACGTCGGCCGCCCGCACGAGAGAGACAGAGAAGGGAAATGTAAGGAATCCTGCCTACATAATAACATAACCCCACAACTGAGACCTACAGTTAGACACCGCGAGCTCAGCGGTGGGGCGCTCAGGAACAATCCCCCATAGGAGCGCGAATTCCCATAGGACTTCTGACGAGCACAGGCACCCGTCAGAAGTCCCCCCTGAGGGGGCCCGAATCTAGAGTTTGGAAACGTTGTGTGGTCACCGAGATTTGAAAAGGACAAAATTTTAATAGAGAATGTTCAGAGACGTGCAACAAGGATAATTCCAGGCTTGACGGGCGAGTCCTATGAAGAAAGATTAAAGATTATGAAGCTTCCAAGCCTCAGTTATCGACGTCTGCGTGGGGACCTCATTGAAGTATACAAGTATGTTCATGGTTTATACAAGGTCCCAGAATGATTACTGGAATTTGAAACAAGAACCAACACCAGGGGTCACGGCTATAAACTTAAAAAAATGCGCTGCAACTTGTCCAGCGACATTTCTTCTCGCTTCGAATTACCGTCATGTGGAACAGCCTCCCCGATTACATCGTTGGCGCTCTGAGTATGAACGCGTTCAAGAACAGACTAGATAAAGCTATGGAAAAATATATGTTCAGACTTGAAATGCCTAGCACTATATCGAACCCAATGGAAGTCTAGTAGCTATCTCAAACTATCGTCAGTCGTGAAAAGGTCCGGTCAAATGACACGATTTTAGCTCTTCTGCGAACAAGTCACAAAAAGTTCAAGAAGCGGCGACAGGCCACATCAGGACTACTCTTTAGCGGCTACATCACTATCATGACTATGTTATGTTATGTTATGTTATGACTAGTCTCAGCTCAGCCTGCTCTGGGTGACTGGGGTTTATTATAAGATTACTTGTGGTAACCTAATTTGAATTTGGTTACTTAGGATCATCGATAATGACACCGTATCAGCTTTTATTGCGGTCTACATTGAATTCTATAAAATACTCTGGATGTTCATAGTGTGAAGTTGTTCTATCAAAATATGTCTAAGACTGAGAGTCAAGTCAAGCTTCATTGTAATATTACCGTAGTAAGCCAAAGAATATATTTTCTCCTAATGACCGTTTTCTCTGAACCCGGTGGAAGTCTAGTAGCTACTTCAAACTATCGCCAGTCATGAAAAGATCCGGTCAAATGACACGGGTTTAGATCTATGAACAAGGCACGAAAAGGAAAAGAATCGGCGACAGGCCACACCAGGCCTACACTTCAGCGCCGACATCACTATGTTATGTTATGTTATAACTTCGATGAAAAACTGCGATAAGTTGTGAGCTCTTGAGAGTACAGGTCGTCTGCGAGTTCTGGCACGACGGAATCCGTATGTCTCGCTCATGGAACATTTTACCATCCTCGTCTAAAACGTCAAGTTATTAGGCAAGCAATAGCTGCATGCGCGATATCAACGCAAAAATATTTCATCTTAATCTTATTGCATATTTTATTTCAAGGGAGATGTGCACAAGTAGCATCTGCGCCATAAAGAAAGTTTCTATCTTCATCTAATATATAGTCTACACCCGTCCATATGACGTCAATGATACTAGATTTACTTGCATGTATATACTGTTCATACCTTGCCATCAGAGACTGCACATACCTCGCCAGCAGTATACTGCACATACTTCGCCAGCAGTATACTGCACATACCTCGCCAGCAGTATACTGCACATACCTCGCCAGCAGTATACTGCACATACCTCGCCAGCAGTATACTGCACATACCTCGCCAGCAGTATACTGCACATACTTCGCCAGCAGTATACTGCACATACCTCGCCAGCAGTATACTGCACATACCTCGCCAGCAGTATACTGCACATACCTCGGCAATAATATGTTGTGTTGCATTGCATTAATCCAAAATAGGTTCAAAAGTACGAGACGTCAAACAACGAGAAAAATTTCAGCCGCAGACTGGATGAGGTTCAGTTCAAGGGCTCCCCCAAAGATGCCACACTATAGAGGCATGTCCTACACGTCAACATTCAACAATAGTGGCATGTTGACAATAGTGGCATCACTGGCAGGGTTATAGTGATCATGCCACAACAGTTCCATGCCCCCAATTCTATATATGCCCCCCAATCACAACCTGTAAATATAAATGACTAAGCCCTCGTCCCTTAATTACCCTTGTTTAATTGCACTGTATTCCTATTTGGGGAACATTTGCTTTCAGTTAGGGGATGTCCCTCACCCCCACCCCAGCGCAGGCAAAAGCTCCCACGGCGGTTGTATATATAGCGGCGTGGGAGCGGCGAGAGTTTTTCCCACGCTGTCGTCCTGTCACTTTCCCTGGCGTTGTCTCACTCACAATCACACGAGATAGTCGGTTATTTTATCCCTAATCCTCGGGTAACCATTCACTCTATCCTTCATCCACGGGTAACTATTCACTTTATCCTACATCCTCGGATAACCGTTCGCTTTATCCTGCATCATCCACCAGCATCAGATAGCCATCACCAGTGTTAACAGGAAGCCGTGCATTGCTGTCGTGCCTGCATCGCAGGAATAACCAACATTAATCAGGCATTACCATTAGTAGCAGAGCATTAGTACCAGCATTACTGTTACGTGTTTACGTATTGAGATCAAATTCAAACAGAACTACTATATTGTCAATAGTATGTCAATGTAAGGGCAGCAAGCCTTTGTCCTTCAGTTGGATACCAGGTTCCACCATGTACAGTTCCCCACACCTCTTGTCTCGTCTCTGCCCATCTTCCTCCTAGCTGGGACTCCGAAGATATACGACCAGCGAACGTAACAATTACCAATAGTGGTAGGGCATTAGTACCAGCATTACCATTAGTGGCAGGAAAATGGTCGGCAATGGCAACAAGAGGCTGAAGAAACTGCAACCTGTTCAGGGAGCTGTTAAGATTTTGTGGTGTAATCTTTGGTTGAGCCTCGGTTGTTCAAACAACTTTTTATAAACATAATCGTCCATTTTTTATAAACATAATCGTTAACAGTAAAACTGATGATAAAAATGTCATGCAGGAAGGATCCTGCACAACCATTAAAGCTGCTGTTTAGATCCTGCCGGAAGGATCCTCTACAACAGTTAACGCTGCTGTTTAGATCCTGCGAGAAGGATCCTGCACAACAGTTAACGCTGCTGTTTAGATCCTACGAGAAGGATCCTGTACAACAGTTAACGCTGCTGTTTAGGTCCTGCGGGAAGGATCCTGCACAACAGTTAACGCTGCTGTTTAGATCCTGCGAGAAGGATCTTGCACAACAGTTAACGCTGCTGTTAAGATCCTGCGGGAAGGATCCTGCACAACAGTTAACGATGCTGTTTAGATCCTGCGGGAAGGATCCTGCACAACAGTTAACGCTGCTGTTTAGATCCTGCGGGAAGAATCCTGCACAACAGTTAACGCTGCTGTATCACTAGCACTCGTCGTTACTTTCGTCCCTTCCAAGATGCTGATCATAATTACTTAATGATCGTTCACATATTAGCGTCAATTATTCTGTAATGACGTGATCGCCGTGCGCCGCCCCACGTGAACGTGTGGCGGTGTGGGAGCCGCGCACGCCTATATAAGGCAGCGCCTGGTTGCCGGTACCCCTCAGTCTCTCGCAAGTCGTCGTGGAGAGTATGTCGTTCAAGTGTTGAGCTCGTTTGCAGGAGGCCGATTAGCTGGGTAATCCTCACAGCTGAGAAGTACTGGCGTGAACACCGAAATTTTGAAGCAGCATTAAATCATCAGAAATCATAATGCTGATCATAACTGAAGCAAAGTCATTTGAATCTACAGTAAAACAGCTATTGTCATCAACGCTACATTTCCCTTGTGTGATCAGCGCAAAATTATAATTGATGAGGCTTTCCTAGTTGTAACTTAGGAACATATTTAACTCCAATCTTGAGCACCACTTTCCTCACTTGGATTAGCATTTGTGGCGTCAGCGTTGAAGCTTGGGACACTAACCAATTCGCCAATTCAAAATTTTCACAGCTTATTGCGGGACTCGATCACGCAACTCACTGCTCCAAGATTCACCGTGTTCAATCGCCCAGCCATCTCAACGATTTCGATCAGAACTTTTGACAGTTGGTCGCGGATATCGAACCTACAACTCACTGCAACAGTTCTGGTGCTCTGAACTTGGCAACCCTGCCATAAATTGAAAATAATTTGTTATCTACATCACCAATAAAATTCTATGTAAGCCCATTAATTTTGCGAAGAGTATGTTACATAGGATTCATCAGTCACCTTCATGAGGCGGCAGTTGTTCTTCATAATGAAGTGAAGACGAGGAGAGGGACAAGAAAGCTGACGTGAACGCGTCGCCTACTCAACCAGCCAATCGCAGTCTTTCTTTCAAACCGCAGCCAAAATCTTCGGGCTAATCATGAGCTGCCGAGCCTCACGAAACTTAGGATCAGCTCGAAAAATTTGGAAAATGCGGCTTGATTAGTGAGGCGTTCACCACAGCGATGTTCTCCTGCAGCGTTCAGGTACTACATTAGTGATGAGTTCATCACAGCGATGCTCTCCTGCAGCGTTCAGGTAGTACATTAGTGATGAGTTCACCACAGCGATGCTCTCCTGCAGCGTTCAGGTACTACATTAGTGATAAGTTCATCACAGCGATGCTCTCCTGCAGCGAAAATGTTCTTCTTTTAAATAAAACAAGTTTCAACTTCATAACGTTCTTAGTTTTTTATTTATTAACAAATTAAAAGGGTCAGTTAATTCTGGTACACCCTGTATTACTAAAATGACTCGCGTTAAAGCATATACATGTGATATCCCACAGATGCTGTTGACATTGGTCGCCGTGCTTCTGCACCCATCGGCTGCGGTGAGACCACCTCCCAGCCTCTCCTCTAGTTCTTCAGACCATTTCCTTAGCATCTTCCCCAGTATACCAGCCAATCACCCCAGTATACCAGCCAATCACCCCAGTGTACCAGCCAATCACCCCAGTATACCAGCCAATCACCCCAGTGTACCAGCTAATCACCCCAGTATACCAGTCCATCACCCCAGGATCTTAGACCCTTTTCCCAGCTTCTCCCCCAGTAGCCCAAGCCATCTCCCCAAGCACTCCGTGCACACCCCATATCATCTAAACTCTTCTCCAAGACGTCCTATGCAGCGCGAAGAACAAACTTTATTTCCCGATGCCACTTTCGATATTCAAGAAGCCCGGATAGTCAACAAACTTATCCGTAATGAAACAGGGCAGCGTGGCAAAACAAATGCGACGCAATTTTCCAGCAACCCTCATAGTTCTTTAGGCACAAATGTGCCTTCGGTCGAGCAAACCGGTGCTAGGAGTACTAGCCAAGGCAGCCATCATGACATTGCTGGCAGAATTTCAGCTCCCATTGCCAAAGTTAATTTCCAGAATGCTGGGCAAGTCAGTGGCAGTAATGCCCTCCAGGATACTGGGCAAGTCAGTAGCAACAATGCCCTCCAGGATACTGGGCAAGTCAGTGGCAACAATGCCCTCCAGGATACTGGGAAAGTCAGTGGCAACTACGCCCTCCAGGATACTGAGCAAGCCAGTGGCAACAATGCCCTTCAGGATACTGGGCAAGTCAGTGGTAACAATAACCTCCGTAAGATTAGCAAGAGGAGAGGGGCATATCAGCTACTCAGTAAATTGTTGATCCCCAAATGGTTCAACAGTAAACCTCCCGTTCCCTTCGTAAGAGGAAGCAGTCACCACGAGAAAAAGGGCGTTCAAGGAAGGAATGGCGCTGCTAAAGTCCTCAACAAAGGACGCCAAAATTTTGCGTCAGATCCAAGTTATGCTAATGAAATATCTAAGTTGTCACCCCCTAGCAAAAAGTCTCGTGTCCACGATAAAACGACGCAACTAAAGAAGAAAAAACAAGTGAAAATAGGCGAAACGTTCCCACCAACGGTCCACGATTATGCTCTTGCAAGACCAGCAACGCGTAGTCAGAGACTAGTCATCGTACACAATACCTTTAACAATTTAAATGTCGACCGCGAAGTTGAACTCTCACCTCAACAAACTCATCTGCACGGCCGAAGCCCGGCGGAATCAAATCATCTTAATAATTCGCAAGAAAATTTTTCATCTATGATGAGACAAAAGTTGACACCAAATACTGGAAAATTATATGAAAAAAGGGCAACGGCGAGGATAAATGAACCACTTGTAGAATTGTCGACAATTCCCGTTGATCAGGTATACCAAATGAAATTTACTTATCCCGGAAGACGAGTAAAAACTCTGTCACAAGTTATTCATGGCATGGGATTAGAATTAGGTGATCGCTCTCATCTGAACTATTTAAAAGAGTCAAAGTCCTTCTTAAATGACCCACAAAACGCTGGTCAATTCTGGGTCCCTATTCCTAAATTAGGTCACATGATTCAAAAAGAAACTTTATTTCATCCGACTAGCCAAACGTTGTTTAAACCTGCACCGGTTGAGTCTGCTTTCACAAATAATTTTCGTAGCCACAAGGATAATCTGACTACACCAATAATGGAATATGGGTTTACTCCGATGCTTCATTTACCACAGAAAACGAACACGTTGTTTAAATCACCATATACATCAGAAAAGCCGATGCATGGTGAGTTGCAGGCAAAACCTCCTTTTATATTTGAAGAAGAAAACCCAATGCATCAACCAGATTCCCGATTCAACGTCATCGGAGACAGTACGCCGGGAAAGCAGTTTCAATTTCATTTTGAATCTAGCCCAATAGCAAGCACAACTTTATCCTCACAGCGCAGTAATTTCAATCTCAATAAAGTTAATTCCAACAAGGAGAAACAAGGTAGAAGCAACAACCGAAAAAATGTGGCTACTCTAACAACTACAACGGGGGAACGTGTGGAACCTTCCCAATTAACACAAGATAGCGAAGCTGGATCAAAAATTAATGATATCAATGTTGGAACGGTGAAGAAGTTAACAATCTCTAAGCAACTCGAAGAAAAAGAAAAAATTCTTACAACTAATAAGAGTAACCAGGAAGAGGTCAGTTCAACTTTTAAAATTATTCCAGACAAAATTGAATCTAAACGAAATCCGCAGTTTCAGCCAGACGAGCCAAAGCTTCAGCACATACCAGTCCAAATTGATACTTCCAAAGACACCACGGGAAGGGTCAACTACAAATTCATGAACTACAAATTACAGCCAGTTTTTGAGGGGGATGCGCTCATCAGCCCGACAGACAACACCGCGTTTGGTAGAACAAGCGATATGAACTCTGCACAAGCGAGTATAGAAACAATGCTGTCTCATCTCGATGTAGCTTCACACGGGCACGACGAACAGCTAGCGGAAGGTAGTGAGGCATCTCATAAGATAACTGATAGGAACTCGGGAATTAACAAGGGGCTTCTTCCATTAGGCTTCTGGAATTCTCGGCGGAGTGCGACTGCAAGTAAGCGAATCGCTAAACTCCAGGGTAAAGGACTTAGTCGTCCTCTCCTGCCTGAAACTACTTATAGTCATATCAACGGAACGCAATGGGTACCAAAGAAGACAGAAGCAATTAGCTGGAGAACATTCCCCTCAGTACTCAGTGACAAAGCTAAACTGGAATTCGAATCACTTGAAAGAAAACATTCATTAAAAGCTCTAAAGAAAAAACAGAAAAGTATAACTCATGACAAACTTGTAAGTAATCACTCGTCAACGACAAACATTCATCTATCGGATTCTTATGATAGTAAAGTCTCCTCCTCACCTAATGCCAAGTCCAAAGAAATTTTTCAAACAAACGAAGAAACTCATCATTTAGGAAAATCTGTGTTTTTCCCTCCAATGTTGGGAGGTGGTATCGCAAACACCATACTACCTGACCATTTATCGCCAAATTCTGATTCCTGGTACCCTCCGTACTCTCATGACATCGACTCATCTCAGCTGGTTTCAGGAGGAGACGCTGGTATTACTCATGGAATAAACGAAAACCATTTTCATGCGCCTTTGTTTAACGATCGTCTATCACCAGCGAATTTGTTTGAGACTACTATTCGTCCGACGTCGTCTCGTCCGCGGACGAGCTTCCCGACGTTCCTTCAGACGAAGACATCTCAAAAACTGAGTTCAGTGTTTGGAGGAGAGACAAGCAGCGGGGGAACTTATGGAAAGCCTGCGGTTGATGCTTCTGATGGAATTAAAGGAATGTCGGTGAAAGGTACTTATCGAGGGGCTTCAATTGGTACTTCGTACGGAGGAGCTAAGGGTGATGCTTCATATGGAGGGTCGCCTGTGGGCACATCATATGGAGCGACGACGAGTGGTTCTTCCTATGGAACAGTGCCTGATAGTACTTTGTATGGAGCGGCAACGGTAGGTAATTCGTATGGAGAGGTGTCAAGTGGCCCTCCGTATGTAGGAGTGTTAAGAGGTAATTCTTTAGGTACAGCGTCGTGTAGTACCTCTCATGGGGGGTTGGCTGGTGGTACTTCTTACGGAGAGCCTACTGATGCTACTTCATATGGAGGGACAGCGGTTGATACTTCCTATGTAGGGGCTGTGGGTAGTTCATCTTATGGAGGGTCTGCTGGTGGTACTTCTTACGGAGAGCCTGCTGGTGGTACTTCTTATGGAAGGTCTGTGGTTGGTACTTCCCATGGAGGAGCTGTGGGCGGTTCTTCTTATGGAGGGTCTGCTACTGGTACTTCTTATGTAGGGGCTATGGGTAGTTCATCTTATGGAGGGTTTGCGGGTGAAACTCCTTATGGAGGGTCGGCTGATAGTACTTCTTGTGTTGGGTCTGCGGGTGGTTTTCCATATGGAGGGTCTTTTGGTGGTAATTCCTTCGAAGGATCTAACACCGGAACATTCCAGAACACAGGATCAGCCTACTCAGGATCTGTTGTTTCTAGTTACACGGATTCGAAGAGTCCACCTGCGTCGTTGCTGTCGTTCCCGTCGTATTTGAGTTCGATGCCGTCATCTTCGTACTCTCATCTTCCCCAAGACTTGGTGCAGCCTGAGACTTACAATTCAAATTTAGGGGTGCGTGGGACTTACAATTCGAACTTATGGCCACATGGAACTGTAATGTCTAGTGTGCCGCCGTATTCTTCGCCGCCAACTTCTTCGTATAGTGGACTTAAAATGGCCTCACTTCGAAATCCACAGTGGCCTCTCCAACCTGCGACCCACAGTCATTCTTTGCCACAATCATCATACGTTTCCACGTCTCTAACAATGGGTAATGCCAACGATCAGCAGGTTTATTCTAATTCCTACAATGAAATTGGTTTTCTAAGTCACCAAACATCTCCGCGAGATTTTGGCTATTCAATATCATTACTGCCGAGACCAAATTTCAAAGAAACCGTGCACTCTCAACATCATGTGCCGGGTACGAGAATTTCGCCGAACTTAATTTATGCTGTGCCTTCACAGTCACAGTCATACAGCCCACCAAATGCAGGAACCCCATCGCAGTCATACAGCCCACCAAATGCAAGAATTCCATCACAGTCATACAGCCCACCAAATGCAGGAACTTCATCGCAGTCATACCGCCCACAAAATACAAAAACTCCTACACAGTCACACAGCCCACCAATTGTAGGAACTTCTTCGCAGTCATTCCGTCCCTCAAATACTGGAACTTTTTCACAGTCATACAGCACACCAAATGTAAAAAACTCATCACAGTCATACAGCCCACCAAATGCAAGAATTCCTTCACAGTCATACCGCCCACCAAATACTGGAACTCCTTCACAGTCATAATTCACTGTCATACAGCCCACCAAATACTGGAACTCTTTCACAGTCATTTAGCCCACCAAATACAGGAACTCCTTCACTGTCATACAACCCACCAAATACTGAAACTCCTTCACAGTCATACAGCCAACCAAATTCTGGAACTCCTTCACTGTCATACAGCCCACCAAATGCAGGAACTCCTTCACTGCCATACAGCCCACCAAATACTGGAACTCCTTCGCTATCATACAACCCACCAATTACTGAAACTCCTTCACAGTCATACAGCCAACCAAATTCTGGAACTCCTTCACTGTCATACAGCCCACCAAATGCAGGAACTCCTTCACTGTCATACAGCCCACCAAATTCTGGAACTTTTTCACATTCATACCACCCTCCGAATACTGCAACACTTTCACAGCCATACCGCCCTCTTAATGCTAGAACTCCTTGGCAGACATATGCTACTTCAAAACACCCTTCAGATGACACTGGCTCCTTTCAATCCTACCAGCTTCGAAGTGTGGGCTTCAATACATCAAGGTCCAGCGTTATCAACTCTGCCGATTGGTCTTCTTATTCAACTCCTAATCCTACTAGTTTCCCTCAAGTTAATACACAAATGACCCGGAACCCATATTCATACCGAACTCGAGGTTCACCCTCAAACAATAAACCTCTACAACCCAAGCCGGTCTTGAATTTTTACTCATCGCCGGACAGTGAATCTTCAATGTTTCTACCTTTCGGACACAAACCTGCTGCCGCGCATTTTAGTTCACCGCTCGAGCAAACAGTAACTGAACCTACAGTTGGCCAGAATCAGGTTTCTAGTTACTCTTCCATAGCACCTAGTCATGGAGAAACCTCAACTTCACCCCCTAACTCTGTTTCCAATCAACCGCCGATGAGTGCTCGTCCTGTCAAGTATAATCCTCCTCGGAGGGATCCATGGGAAAGTATCTTTCCGCAGCACCGAGAACGTAACTCTTTGTTAAAAGACACAGTCCCCTCAAATATATCGTCAGAGAATGAAGGGTCAATTGTCTCTTATTTGCCTCGCTTCAACTTGCCCCATGTAGGGGCAATTAGTCCTGTTCCGGCAGTCCATCTTCACACCACTGTTTCATATTCTTATTCACCACCCAACACCCACTCCCAGAGGTCAACTGCTGTACCTATAACAACATATACAATTCCTGTAGCTTCTCCATATTTTCACCGACCTACTCATATGTCAAGCTCGTTTGTAAATCCATTTTTAGTCCAATCCAATGACATTGGTCCTTTCTCTGGGCATCAAACATCCATGACATCATCCCCATACAACAATCCACTGGGATTAAAAGACATGAATTCATACGTTTACTCAACGCCGTTCACACATTACCCTCCACTCAGCTCGTACAGGTTTCCACCAGTACCTAATCCTCTATCAACTTCTTTCCTAAGTACGAGGTTTCATCCTTCCCTCGACCAACCCGAACAGAACTTTGGTCCATACCAAACATCCTGGGGCATCGCAAACACTCACCCGCTCGAAAGTCCTCGCCACTTAGCACCTTTCAGAACCGCAAACCCGAGAAGTCGCTATCGAGGACGAGGATCGACCGGTTCATCCTCGTCAAGACAGCAGCCAACCTACAGTGGTAGGGGACGGGAACTGACGCAGCCTCTTGGTGCCGAGGAAGACCAAATGAATAAACGTGACGATGTCGAAGACCAACAAAGGAACTCGGTGAGAAGTACTCAAAATTATTCACTTTTTCAGGTTAGATCATGTACTCAAAATGATACAGGGCTTATTTTTATTACTTGCTATAAAAATATTGAAAAAATTTGCGTCAGTATGCTCTGCTCCAAAAGCAGCTTCTATTTTTTCTGCTTTGAACGGAAACGTCATTGCTTTAAAATTTCTCCTGGTTTTCCTGGATCCGACTGAGCCAGGTCTTCTAGGACACTCATTATTGGGTTTAATAGTTACTTGCTATGAATGTAGAGGGCGGTCTCTGAAAATCTAACGTCACCATTCGATGCACTTCGAGGAGACAACTTGATGCCTCAGTGCCATGAGTACTGAATATTCAAAAAGCCCTCGGCTACGTAGTCCTTTCAGTGCATATGAATAGTCAAAAATTATATAGATAAAATTGTTGTCCTCCTTTCCTCCAGATTCTCAAACTCTAATTTCGATCTGCACTTCTATTTGATAGTTAGCGTGGCACTTGCTATTAACGCCGTTAAAGTTTTATTGGTGAGAACAGACAGACAGAATAAATAAAAGTCTCCTTAATACACCAGCGTCGTACGGTACTGTTACGTTTGCCCTTCAAATGCAGCAGCCGGCGACCAGCTACCCGTACTTCGACTTCTCCGGGCAGAAGGAAGGACCGAAGTTCGGGCAGAAGGAGGTACAAAGCTCCAAGGGAGTGAAGAAGGATTTCGTCGGGGCGGCCAAAGGTTGAACTTACGTTACCAGGTGAGTTGTCGCCATGTTGGTAAAGGGAAGCTGATGGTCTTGTTGCTGTGAGGGAGGGAAAACAAGGAAAGGTTTTTGTTGAGGCAAATGTCCCTTAGCACAACTGAAAATGCGGCACCCAAGCCATTATGCTCAGCTTTGGATGAGGCACAAGAATTTAAAATTTGCCCACACTTATAGAGTGAATAGTTAGAGTAAATATATTCCTTTGTAAGGAAATTTAGTTTATGCCCGGAGATTGGGTGATGAATTAGAGTGAACATATTTAATCCTATTGAGGGATTTTGCAGAATACTTTCTCAGGTGAAGCGTTTCTCTTGACAGCAGGCACGCGAGCCCCTCCCTTGGCCCTGGACCGTCGCCCCCAGCGTCGTTAGGAGACAACAGGACCCGTCAGGGGACAACAGGACCCGTCAGGGGACAACAGGACCCGTCAGGAGACAATAGGACTCGTCAGGGGATAACAGGACCCATCAGGGGACAACAGGACCCGTCAGGGGACAACAGGACCCGTCAGGGGACAACAGGACCCGTCAGGAGACAACAGGACCCGTCAGGGGACAACAGGACCCGTCAGGGGACAACAGGACCCGTCAGGGGACAACAGG